ATTGTGTGTGTACTTTTTTATATTTATTTTTCTATTTTCATGATTAACTTTTAGTATCTGGGACAAAATGGCAATAATACATATTTTCGAAACAAATAATATTTTATTCCAATTGTGTGAATAATAGTTTAAAGAAAATAAATATGGAAAATAAAAAGAAAATTAAAAAATATTATTTGAAAAGAATCAAGATAAAAAAAAAAAAAATCTTTTCTCTGAAATCCTATTCAGGATGGATTCCAGATAGTCTATTTTTAAAAGACATGCATGCCTTTCTTCCTCAGAAATGTCTTTTAAATAACAAAGAGTTTTTATTGTATTAAAGGCATCCACTGCTGCTGCAGGTGTTATTGATGTTTTGTTTAAATCTTTTTCTGTTGGCTCTACCTCTTCATCTTCTTCTTTTCCCATTACCTCCTTTACAATTTCTTCAATGGACTGTTCCCCAGCAACTTGCACATCTTTATCAACTTCCAAGAAGTCAATATAGTTGACATCAATGGCTTGATGTTTTTTTAATGCCTCAAAACATCTGTCCATTTCTTCTTCAACAACTTCTTCCATTGCTTCATCCATCACAAATCCTGAATGAGAAAAACAATTTTTTATTGTGGAAGAACTAACCCCAACCCACGCAGCCTCTAGCCAGCTAATTGCAAAGAGTAAATGTACTTGAGCATTTTTTTTTTCTTCCATGCAAGTGAGAAGATACATTATCATTCGTTTCCTATATTGGTCTTTTAGGGCTTTAATGATACCCGTATCACAGGGTTGTAATGCACTTGTAGTTAGGGCGGGCAAAAATCTTATTTCAATGTTCTGTAACCCTTCAGGTATTTGGTGGGCTGGGCAATTATCTAAAATTAATAAAATTTTTCTTTCTCTTCTTTTGAATATTTGGTCCAATTTTTTCAGCCAATTCGTAAAAATTGCCCCAGTCATCCAGGCTTTTTTATTAAAATGATAATTTGAGGGAATATTCATGCCATGGAAGCATCGTGGTCTTCTATATTTCCCAATATAAAGTAAAGGCAGTTTTTCACTTCCATCCATATTACAGCATACCAACACTGTAATTCTCTCTTTAGATTTCTTACCCCCTTCACATTTCTCACCTCTGATAATCATTGTTTGATTAGGCAAAAGTTTTGTTAGATGTGATCATCTTTTCATTAAATGTAAGATACTTGAATATTTGTAAATTATATTGTTTAAATAATTTGTATTTTTAAATTTAATTATAAAAAAAATTGTAAATTTATATATGTAAATTCTTGTGCAAAATTAATGTATAATAGAGGATTTGCATATGTCATGTTTGTTAAAAAGAAAAGTGTAGTTTTGTTTGGGCAGAGAAGCTAGATGCTCTCAAGTTAGTTTTTTTTTCTGAGTGTAAATATGTTTGTATAATATTTTAAAATTTTCTGCTCTAATTTGATTTCATTGATAAAATAAAAAGTTGATTTCATCAGGGAAGTATATTTATTTATTTTTTCTCTCTTAGGGCTTCAAGCATTAAAAAGAAAATATTTAAAAGGGGTGTGTGCCATCTGTCCTCCTTGCACCCAACAAGTTTATAAAATAACCCTGTTTCATCAGCATTGAAAATGTCCTGTGGGCTGTATTTAGCTAAAAGTGAAGGAATAATCCCACCTTTCCAAGTGGCTACACTATTGGCATCCACACTTCCAGCTTCTCCATGAAGTCGCTTAAAAGCAATATTCCTTCTGGCCTTAAACTTTTCTAGCCAGCAATTGCTAGCTTCAAAATTATCTTGACCCATTTTTTCAAGGCCAAGAGTATAGCCTTTTCTTTCAAGATATTGCCATTTATGTCAAGTTTCATGGCATTTGCCTGCCTTATCCACCTAAACAGGGCTTCTTCAATCTCTGGGAATTCCCCGTCACGTTTCAAGGTAGAGCTAAAATTAGATTTTAAAAAGGCAGATTTTATGGCAAATTTATTTTTAAAAATTGTGCTAATGGTGGACCGTGGAATATTTCTCTCTCTGGAAACTTGACTATGTGATTTTCCTTGTTCTATTTCTTCTATAATTTTCATTTTTTCCACATAAGTGAGCTGGTGATACTGACTACGTTTCCAATTTTTTTTTTGGCAGAACCTGACATTCTTGCCCCACTCATTTATTCAAATTAACACAGAATATTGAATTAAAATGTTATCATAATCATTGTTAGAGTATTTTATAAAGATTTATTTATTTAAAAATAAATTATTTATAAATTTAAAAATAGCTAAAATATTTCAATGTTAAAAATAAAAATTATTATTAGCGCATGAAGCCGAAATTCCCGCGTAAAAAAACAATGATAACATCCGCGAAATTGCGCAACGGCACTGCAAAGTGAAACTTAAACTAACCAGAAACCAAAAGTGCGCAGGCGCGATCCTATCGGCGCCCGCCGATGCCGATCGTCGCCGCCGTAATACCGTTTAGCGGTAAAGTTGCATGTAAAATAACATTCAACTGTCGAAATTCGAATTTTAAAATGGTCAAACTATCGGAACTGTCGTATTATCGATACTGTCGAATTACGGTTTGTTATTTGATAGGCCGGAGGTCGGGACATTAGAACATGGTCAAATTATCGCCGAGTGTCGCATTAACGAGGTTATACTGTATATATAATAATTACAAATAATATTTTATTCTAATTAAATAATATAGCAGTTTAAAGGAAATAAATATGAAAAAAAAAAAGAATTAAAATATCATTTAAAAAAAATCATAAAGATCTTTTAAAAAATTCCTTTATAGATGTCTGTTTTTGCACTGAAATCTTATTCAGGAGTTATTCCAGATGGTCTATTTTTAAAAGACATGCATGTCTTTCTTCCTCTGAAATGTCTTATTGTATTAAAGACATTCGCTGCTGCTGCAGGTGTTATTGATTTTGTGTTTAAAACTTTCTGTTGGCTCTACTTCTTCTTTTCCCATTGGTCTGTTTTCAATGGTCTGTTCCCCAGCAACTTGTACATCTTTATCAACTTTCAAGAAGTCAATCTAGTTTACATCAATGGCTTGTTTTTTTAATGCCTCAAAACATCTGTTTATTTCTTCTTCAACAACTTCATTTGTTTCACAAATCCTGAGTGAGAGAAACAATTTTTTATTGTATATATTATATATAGAAGAGCTAACCCCCCAACCCATGCAGCTTCTAGTCAGCTAATTGTAAATGAGTAAATGTACTTGAGCATTTTTTTCCTTCCATGCAAGTGAGAAGATACATTATATCATTCGTTTCCTATATTGGCCTTTAATGATACCCATATCACAGGGTTGTAATGCACTTGTAGTTAGGGCATGCAAAAATATTATTTCAATGTTTTGTGGGCTGGGCAATTATCTATAACTAATAAAAATTTTCTTTCTTTTCTTTTAAATATTTGGTCCAATTTTTTCAGCCAATGTTTATAAATGACTTGCAATATTCTCTTTGAAATTGCACATATTCTTAGAGGATTTAAATCCATTGGAAAATGTAATGGGCTTTGTTCTGCTATGATATATAAAAAATAAACCAAACAATTATGCAGATCAATCTTTTGCCAACTTTAGCCTTTTTTCACCTTTTTCAGTTTCTATCCAGGCTTCCTATAAACTTCTTTATCCTTTTAACTTTCCACAGTTTCTATAACAGGTTTCTTATCAGATTCTTTATCCTTTTACCTAATTTAGTTTCCATACAGGCTTCTAATAAACTTCTTTGTATAAACTTCGGCACTTATGATCAACTCTTCTGAGCTAGAGTTCTTTATATCCTAGTCTCAGGCACTTATTATCAACTCTTCTGAGCCTAGGATATAAATAACGCTAGCTCAGAAGAGTTGATCATAAGTGCCTGAACCTAGGATATAAAGAACTCTAGCTCAGAAGAGTTGATCATAAGTGCCTGAGCCTAGGATATAAAGAAATCTAGCTCAGAAGTTTATACGAAGAAGTTTATTAGAAGCCTGTATGGAAACTAAATTAAGTAAAAGGATAAAGAATCTGATAAGAAACCTGTTATAGAAACTGTGGAAAGTTAAAAGGATAAAGAAGTTTATAGGAAGCCTGGATAGAAACTGAAGAAAGTGAAAAAAGGCTAAAGTTGTCAAAAGATTGATCTGCATAATGGTTTGGTTTATTTTTGATATATCATATTATCATAGCAGAACAAAGCCCATTATGTTAAATTCATCAAACCCTGTCGTTCACTACCTCTAGAATATCACCTGCCTATCGCCACAGTAAGTTCAATAGTTAAACACAAAAAATATTTATTTAAAATATTCATTTGTTTATTTATTATTTTCTAAATTCTTCTTTTTTTTCCCTATTTTATTTTATTCCCAACATTTCTGGTAAGCCGGACGCGATAGGTTTGGTGGTAAGATGGAGGAGTTGAACGAAAGAAGAAAAGCTGCGAGAAGTATATTTACTGAACAAGTTAATGATTTATATGCAGAGTTAAAAAAGACTTGCATTGACAAAGATGCGGCTTGAATGTTTGCATAATGAGCTTATAGCTTTGAATGAACTGTTCCAATTGATTTTGTTATCACAAGAAGAAATTACTGACGAAGAAATTGATAGAGAATTCAAGTATTATGAAATCTACATATACAGGAAAGATATAATATAGAGTATAAAATTAGCATATTGCGTGAGCAGAAAGATGTTGGTTCGAAGTTACCTGATAATAAAGTTGAATCTAAAGAAGAAAATAATACCAAAGATGAAGAAGCTAATGATACAGCTGAACATAAAACTGAAAATGAGGATGCCAAAGATACTTTAACTAAAGATGAGAAAACTAAAGTAAGCCAGGCAAGTGATGAATGTACATTAGAAATGGACCTTAATAAAGAAGAGTTGGAGGTAGAAGAAATTGCTAATCTACTTATATAATTGCCTTAATCTGTCTGTGTGAAGTTCACGGATAGATTTTGGTCAGTCATCAATTCTGTCATCGTTTTAAAATATTAAAAAAAGATGCCGAAACCCGGGATCGAACCAGGGACCTTTAGATCTTCAGTCTAACGCTCTCCCAACTGAGCTATTTTGGCTTATTTTAGTTATTTCTATAGAAGCTTCTATCTTTATAATTATGCATCTTCTACTTATATAATTGCCTTATTCTGTCTGTGTGAAGTTCACTGTCTGAAGTTCACGGATAGATTTTGGTCAGTCATCAATTCTGTCATCGTTTTAAAAAATTAAAATATTAAAAAAAGATGCCGAAACCCGGGATCGAACCAGGGACCTTTAGATCTTCAGTCTAACGCTCTCCCAACTGAGCTATTTTGGCCTATTTTAGTTATTTCTATAGAAGCTTCTATCTTTATAATTATGCATATTATATAATTGCCTTATTCTGTCTGTGTGAAATTCACGGATAGATTTTGGTCAGAATGGATAAAATAAAAAAAGTGTCAAGGGATGGGAATCGAACCCACGACCTTCCGCTTACCGGGCAGATGCCATGACCACTAGGCTACCCTGGACATATTTTTCCGTTCATAAAGTACAATACTTAAATGAAAATATGTTTCTTATACAATCAAAAATTAGAAAATAAACGTTTAAATTGGTAACATCAAGGAGATAGCCATTATAAAGCACTAATATTTGAATAAAAATAAATTTGTATAAACGAATAGTATTTTAATTAAAACATTTTAAAAACACAGTTTGGAACGGGACGTTTCACAAGAGTGACATCCATGGCGCCAATTTATAATTGTAACGAATAGTATTTGAATTAAAACGTTTTTAAAATATATACGCACTCGGGTAAAACCCGGGCGTTGCCCGGGCCATTCGTCTAGTGAGGAATATAAAGATACAGATGTAAAGAATAAAGAGGATCCTGAACATCAACCTAAAGGCAATAGAATAAGGGATTTGGAAACTCAACACAAAGGCGATGAAGTAAAGGATTCTCAAACTGCAATTAAAGGTTATGAATCCGTAAACAATTCTAGAGAGGCAGCTGAGAGCGCTGATGAAGTAAAGGTTTCAGAAGAGGAAACTAAAGCAAGGGAATTAGAAGATTCTAAAGAGGCTGATAAAGTCAAATATACTAGAACTGATAAATCTAAAGATAAGAAAACGGCAGGTTCTGAAACAAAAGCCATAAAATTAAAAGAGGAAAGGCATGGAAGATACATCCCGAAACTTGAAAATTTAAAACCAGAAATGTTGCATGAGAAGTATAGAAAACTAGGGCAACTAAGGAAAGAATTGAAGCAAAATTTTTCAACACTTTAAATCAAAATTCAGAAAATTTTGATAGAAGACATCTAAAAATAGGAGATTTTGATAAGGCTCAATTTGGATTATAGATTATTAACACATGGTAATAAGACCAAATCCAAATAAATAGTGTGTGACGTTTCGGTAACAGTGTTGTTACCAAACGTCACACACTATTTATTTATTTGGATTTGGTCTTATTACCTTGTGTTTAATAGATTTTGTGTTTATTGGTTTGGAAGATGTTAAAAGGATGTTTTGGCCTAAAGGCAGAATAGTAAAGCATATTTCTGGTAAAGATGGGATAGCAAGGGTGACCCATGTTAAAACATCGACGGGTACCTTGGTCAGAGCAATTCAGCACTCATGTCCTCTTGAGATTTCATCTAATGAATGGAAAGACCAATCGGATAAGTTGATTCTAAATCCGAAATCTGACATTAAGGAGAGACAGAGACTTTTTCCGGGATTTACAAAAGCAGGTATGGGAGAGAAAGTAAATGGCCTGACAGACATAGTTCTTAAATTATGTAGGCCCTGCATATTAAGGGTAAATAGTTAATGAAAATTTAATTTTGACTATTTCTTTGTCAAAATAGGTGAGAGAACTCTAGAATTTGTATTAAATCATGCGCAGATCACATCCGGCTCACCAGAAATGTTGGGAATAAAAGAACATAGGAAAAAAAATTTGAAAATAATAAATAAACAAATGAATAATTTAAATAAATAATTTTGTGTTTATTGTACTTACAGTAACGATAGACAAATGATATTCTGGAGATAGTGAATGACAGGATTTGATGAATTTAACATAATGGACTTTATGAAATGATACATAAAAATGCACATGCAGATCAATCTTTTGCCAACTTTAGCCTTGTTTCCCTTTCTTCAGTTTCTACAACGGACTTTCTATCAACCTTAACCTTATTTAGCCCCTTCTTATTTTCTTTTCACTTGATTTACTTTCTATTCAGGCTTCTTATAAACCTTTTCTTATAAACTTCTTCTGATCTAGAGTTTTTTTATTTTCTAGACTTAAGCACTTATAATAAACTTTTCTTCTGAGCTTGAGTTCGTCAACTCTTAGGCTCAGGCACTTCTATTCTCATAAACGCTTCTTACTAACCCCCCGCAACGGCCATCCCGCCGTGCCTTTTATACCTTATCTTGCCCGCGCAAAGTCTCACCTGATTGGCTTTCCCTGTCACTTGATCTAAAAATGAAACTATGCAAATGAACTAGTTTTAACACCATGTGTTCTCTAAAATATGTTTTTGTTATATAAAAATTCTCTTGAGATCTGTGCTCTATGGGTGGAGGTTCGAAACCAGAATAGTTTAGGTAGTGGTGTGGTGTATTTCAGTGTGCCATAACCATAGCATAAGGTACATTGTGTAGTTTAGCTGATTGGATTTCTACAGTCAAATTTACTGGTATTTATCTCTTCAAAAGAGAATTTAAATAAATTGTGGATGTCACAGATGCCGCCCACTAGGAAGAGAAAAGCTGTCCTGGAGCCACTAGAGAATAAGAAGGCCAAAACTGATGGAAAGCCTCTTCTGGTGATTGAACATTGGTGAGTGTTGCTGTCACATATGCAGATATTCTGATCAATGGCAGTCAATTGGATATATACAGTTATGTTCAGGAATAGCTTTTGTTATCAATTTAGTTCCTTTTCAGTAAAAGCTACCAACCTCCTTAGTCAACTGAGTTTCAAGGAGCTGGTTTGTCACTCGGGAGGTGCTCTACTCTATATGCAGGTGTAGAGATTTATTCAACTAAAGGCATTAAAATAATAATTAAAAAAAGACATTTCATTTGTAATTCTCTATTTTCTTTTTATTAAAAAAATACATTTAAATTAATTTATATCTACTCTGATTATCCCATGAGTGAAAACCACTCCTGTCTTTGGTTAGTTCACTAAGACTCACCTTTGAGTTGACAAGTGATTGGTTGGTCATCCTAGATGGCTTTAACGGGGGCTGTGAACAAAGATTATACGCCAATAGAATCAACAGCACTTTTCTATGATCTTCTCGCACCTTGCACCCACTTCTCATCACATAATCAATCCCACATAAGTGCTAGTGGGTGTGAGAAGATCAGAGAAGTGCTAGAGATACGTGAAATCTACCATGGAGGTACTGTGCAAGATTCAACATGTTTCTGTGGATTGGGGGAACAAACTTCAATACATCTCTTGCTAGAGTGCCCTGTCTTTCAAGATTACAGAGTCAACAACGGTTTAATAGCTTTAGGCCCTAGTGATTTAATTTCAAGTAAGGACACATATATAAAATTTAATTTCCTTTGTAAATATATTTTGGATTTCATTAAGAAAAATGGTCTTTGATGTAACGATCTCAAGGAAATATTGGACATATCTTGTGGTTGTAAACAATATATAGGTGTATGCGTGTATATGTGTGTATATATGTATATATTTTTAAATTTAATGATGTAACTGTAAATAAAATTCAAAGAATATCTCCTATATGTAAATAATATTTATGAATCTTTCTAAGTCGCTTTCTGTGTATCTTTCCATGTTGAATATTTTCTTTGTTATTTTGTATGTACATTTAGCGCAAGTGTCCCTAGGGGATCATAGCGTTTTGAATTGAAATAAAAAATAAAAAAATGGAGGTGTAGCTACCAGAGGACTGGCTCAGTTCATTTAGGTTTCATGTGGATCCTATGAAATCTACTAGAAAACTACTCTGGACGGATAGGGAAGGGAAATGGTTTGTATCTGAAAAAATTGTTGTGCTAATTTTAGTCAATTAAATTGAAGTGTGATATAATTTTAAAATACCTGACATTAAGCTGTTTATGTATTGTGCAGTGTTTCCTGACGAGTGTACCGACGTAAGGCAGAGGAGGTGGGGAAGGCTCTTGTGGCCCAGACCCCCGGACTGGAGCTGGAGTTGAACCCCACTGCTCCCAGGAGAGGCAGCTTTGAGCTGGTCCTCCATCAGGAGGAAAAGACTCCGGTGGAGCTGTGGTCCGGGCTGAAGAAAGGGCCTCCCCGCAAGCTCAAGTTTCCTGAGGACCTGGACTCCATCCAAGCTCTCATCACCAAGTTCCTCAAGTAACTGTAGGTATTTACTGAGGTTTATTGGTTTTTGAAATCCTGGTACTGCAAAATCTGTCTTAGGAGTCTATATTTTCAGTGGAACAGTTTTTTTTTTTGCTTATCCCTAGTACACGTGGTACAGGCCATGATAATCATGGTGGGTAGTTAGCGACTGCTTTTACTGTAAGCGCACCACATGTCTACACATGTGAAAAGCAGTTCGACTTTGCATTTACAAATGCCAGAGCCCCGTTTGGTTACTTGCACTCGCTGGTGGGGTTGGACTTTTGCAAGAATCGGGGGCCATTGGAGCATTTTTTTTTTTTTTTTTTAAACAGAAAAAAGTGCCCAATGCGGGTATCGAACCCGGGTCCTAGTGGTCGAAAACCAAACGGTTTACCCAGCCTTCCACCGACCCCCAGTGGAACAGTTATTTCCATTAGTTTAGTTTTCTTAGTTATCTGACCCTCTAGCTCTTACAAAATGTTTGTTGTTGTTGTTTCTTATCCCCTTGTGTAAAGATTACATGAATTCCATGAGTTCATGCTCCTCGAGCTGTTTTATGATGAGCAGCGGCCTCTCCCAAAGGTCCTGTTTAGTGCATCTAATACAAGCCAAAATATGTTCTGGAGCTGCAGGTACCAAACTACATTTTGGGCAAGTGGGATAAATTTTGTTATTATTTTCTATCTTCAATGGCTTGAGATGGCCTGTTCTAAATCT